GGCCGCCGTCGTTAACTTCACCGGCCGTACGAACAAGGCTGCAGTCAAGTCGTCTCGGGTGTATGACTTGATATCTAATTTTTATTAGTACACTTTAATATACTTGATAAGATTTTAATAAAATTTTCCCATATTTACCTGACTTTCGTTGTATATCGCATGATTTTCGCCTAGGTACCTGTTGCGATGAATACAAATTTGCGCCTAAGCATTTATTTTTGCCTACATACACGTTGTAAGACGGCAATATCATGTAGACAATTGGATTTAGAAAGACACTTGAGTGACTGATCAGAAAACGATCACTCTAGTTTTTATTAAGTCGTACACTGGAGACGACTTGACTGCAGCCTTGTTCTTACGGCCGGTGAAGTTAACGACGGCGGCTATACCATTTTTGAAGACAATTGAGTAAATTCGACCAACGAAATCCTCAGTGTCGCGGCCGCCGAGACACCGGAGGTATGCGGCCTATTATGATAAGAATGAGAGGACATCAGCATACCATTTACTCACGAAAAGCAGGACCTAATAGTTGATTATTAAGGTCGTTGAACTGCGTGAGAGTGATTATAGGCGCTTCGAGTGGCTTGACCGTCCTTGTGGAGACCGGCGCCGCATGACGATTAGGCTCTCCGGTCACGATCATCTCCACAGTGTGCAGTCGGTTGCTCATTCGGTGAACGCGTTTGATCACAAGCAACTGACCGTGTCGCATCTTATCAATCTTCCAATGAAGAGCATCAAGGGAGCTTCTGAAGTCATCGTATGTGTTTGGATTCGATGCTGAAAGTTGTCATAGTGAGGATGAATCTTAACATTGGTATAAAATTGGTCTGTAACCGGCAGGGTTTCGTAAGGGTTATCGGTCTGTGTAGGCCTTTGAGGACGCTCCTTGAAAGGGAAATGATTAGTAAGTATATGTTACCTACCGGTGACAGTGGTGGCGTTTGGTCCCAAAGCCAAACGGGATCGTTTTCATGGGTTGCTGTTGCAGCCACCTGTCGTGGTCGTCTGCGTTGGCTGTTGTTGCTCATAACGTAATCTACAAGCGCACAGAAAGAGTACGTGATTATGTGTGTTAATTGGCATCCTATTCATATGCCCAGTGCTTTACTTCAGTGTCGCAAAGCACTAGCTATGTGGACTGTGTGTTTGCAGGGTTTACGAGCACTATTACTACACTTTCCCTTACGGTAATCAGGGGAAGAATAGTAACTGGGCGGGTGAGTAAACATTTTTATTAAAACGAAGTTGCGATCCTGAGGAAAGCATGCAAGTGTGGTTCCTAACGTTGCCTTATATACGTGCAACTTAGATGAGGGGATGGGGTAATCTAGGTAATCTGATACGTGTGTAAACCCTAAAAATACTAAGAATGTACATCTGTCATCTGTTACAAGGATATTCTTAACGCAAACGATCTTACCCGCAAAACGAATAAACCCGTTTGCAATTGTGTTGTCTACCCGCATTTTGGGCACGATGACGCACTTGTGCTGCTCATAAAACGGGTGCCCCTAGGTATGGGACCACGACTATGCTTGTGCAGATACCTTTGGCTTTGCGTTTCCTTCTGCGCAATAATTGCTACGTCGTCCTCACTCAGCCGCCTAGCTACTTGCGGCAGAGGCCGCGAAGGCTTTCTCAGTTTTTTCTTCAGTCTCCCTAGGTAGCTTTCGAAGGAGAACGTTGAGGAAGAGTGCAGGTCCATGTCGCTCTACATCAGCCGCAATGTGCGTAATACTGTGCACATTGCATACCATCTGCTCTGGCCCGTATAACACTTGATACTTTCGAGCGAACAATCGCAACAGCCGCTCAACATAGCCTGTATTATCAGGACTTAAATGTGGGCAGCATAAGTAACGCATTGCCGTAAAGAGAAGCAGAAAATGCTTTCAATGGGCCTGTGGTAGTACGTCTCTCAAAACTACTACCCCCAGGTACAAGAGGAACTGCCTAAATTCCGTACCCTTCCAACA